GTTAAAATTGAAAAAATCTTCATTATTCCCAACGCATGACCAGTGAGATGGCACCATACTGTCAAACTGGTCAATATTAAGGTGCTAAAGGGATACTAACTCACCCGCCAGTGAACAGTGCCATCATTATCATCATGTGATGTTGTTCAGCGCGTCAGACACAGTGCAGATGGAGTCGGATGAGTGGATCTGTAATGATCTGTGATGGTTTGTTTCTCAGATTCAGGTCCATCATGAGTTGCCCGTCCTCCGGTCAGCAGGGTGTTTACCCACAAACCCCTCAGCAGTGGCCCGGTCAGCCCTGCCCACCCTGCTGGTCCTGCCAACCCACTCAGCCCAACTGGCCTGTTAACCAGCCCAGCACGACCTGGCCGGTCCAACCCACCCAACCAGGCTGGCCCAACCCTCCACCAATCCAACCAAACCCACCAACCCAACCCATTCAACCAATGCAACCAACCCAACCCATTCAACCAATGCAACCAATGCAACCCAACCCTCCAATCCAGCCGATCCCACCAATTCAGCCGAGCTGGCCTGCTCAACTACCCCCCTCGACAGGTTACCTGCCCTCTCCAGTGGCTCCGGCGTGGCACGGTAATCCTGGCCAGCCCGGCTGGCCCGGTCAGGGGCCCGCAGGAGGAGCTCCGAAGCCGTGGCCCCCAGCACCAGCCATCGCTCCTGTAGTAAGACACTGAACCAGCGCTTTACCACAGACATCCATCAATGCAGTGAATAAAACACCGCGAAAGCACTGCTCACACTACACTTACCACCCACTGACTGCCATTCACACGCATGCACAGCTCATGCTAATGCGCTCTCAAACTCTAGCTTGGTGAACTGGTGAATTCATTCATTTAAGATTGATGCATTGAAAAAAAAATGCAGTTCTTCCTCAGTGTTTCTGACTTGTTTTCCAGTACAAATATCCTTAAATCAAGACTCATTTACTGGAGAAGCAACAAGACTGTTAGGTTTTCTGGAATATCTACCAAAAAGAAGTGGGTGTATGCTTAAAACAAGAAAAAATATATATCTGTCATTGCTGTGGGAACAAGAAACGTTTAATTCAAAGGGAAAAGCAGGATTCTGAGCCCACATATTTGTTCTTGTTTTAAGCATAAACTCGCTTCATTTTGACACATTTAAAAAAAACATGACTCAGGATCTTCAGTCATTTTGCATCTTGTATTTATGGATTTTTTTGTTATTTATGATGGAAAATAAGACAACAACACTAAGAAAATCATTTTTTGCAGTGTGCATCACATCGTGATCTTGTGGCTGAATTAAAAGAACAAACTTTAAATCTGCAGGATCGCAGCAACCTGGAGTAGATTGTATATTTTTGCATTTTATGCTAAATTGTTTTTATAAAAGATGCTGCGGATTGTGAGATCATATAAAACCGCTGCAGCAGCTGAAGAAGTTTTGCGCGCACAAAGACTAGTGTGAAATAAACCGACTGATCCGCTTCTAACAGAGGAGAAACATGCTGAGGTCAAAGGTCGTGTGTCCCATCAAACTCTACAGTATTTCAGCACATTCTGAGGATCTGATCAGATCAGACAGATGAAGCACGGACAGGCTGAACCTCAACTAAACCACACAAGATAAAAGAAAAGAGTCATTGCAGGAATTAATTACTGCCTCTTTTTGAAACTCTATGATTGTAATATTCTGAATCAAATCCAGCTGAGAGCCGATGATGTAGAAATATCATTCGCTGACGTTCCTGAGCCTGTTAATGTTTTCTGTTTTTCAGACGGTTCCTTTCAACATGAATTTCCCCCGCGGCATCTACGACAAGCTCATGCTGACTATCAGAGGACAAATTCGACCAGACGCCAAGATGTAAGTGCAGACCTCATTTCTCATTTATTTATGGCTGAATTTCAGAACTTACAGAAATTATAGTCCCTCGCACATCCAAATCATTCATAAAAGCCCAGTATATAAACTTGAAGAAAAACTGATACATTTCACACACTGCATGATGATGTTTTTTATTTGCAACATTTCGGTCAAAGGAACTTCCTCAAGAAGCCAGAGGGAACATGTCAAAGAAGGCCAGAGGAAGCACAACCAGCCGAAACCTTGCAAATGTCACGATGATTTAAAGAGACAGTTCACCCAAAAATAATTGTTCAATCAGCATTTACTCTCCCTCATGTCGTTCCAAACTAAACTAAAGGAGCACATCTTACAAGATCAGATATTTGTCAGCTCGTGTTGGATGCAGGGTTGCCAAGTCCGTGTTTTTTCCACAGAATTGGGCTGCTTTTGTTTTAAACTGCTGCCGTGGGCGGATTTCCCCTCGTGGGTTAAAGGTTTGAAATATTGCATTAATTACATTTGACTGAAATGCTTGTATTGAAATATTTAGCATTCTTCCCGTTAAAAAAAATGGGCTAAATGTAAGTTTTGTGAAGGAGGGTCTCTGGTAGGAAGCCTTAGAGCTGTGTTTATGATCAATGTGCATAACAGTGACTGTAAAATATGTATTTCAGGTATGGAAATGACATATTTTGAGTTTTGATATTTGGGATATAGTCATTGCGCTACTTTGGGCTGTTTTTGATTGGCATGGGCAACCCTGGCTGTATGAAGCAGACCATTTCAGTTTAGTGTAGCGTATGATTTCCAGAACTAAATTACTTTTATTTCTATATAAAAAAAGCAAATCGACAGTGGGGGTGGTGGACACTTTTGAACACACATGATGATGTTGGTAACCAGACAGTTGTCGGTCCCAATGACTTCCATAGTATGAAAAAAACACTATGGGGACCATCAACTGTATGATACATTCTTCAAAGTATCTTCTTTTGTGTTCAACAGGAGGAGGAAACTCTTAAAGCTTTGTAACAACATCGAAGAGAGTAAATGATGGCAGATCCCTGTTGAAAAAAACAGCATATGCTGGTTAGGTATGTTTTGAAGCATGACTGCTGGTTTAAGCTGGTCCTAAGCAACTAGCTCCTGCTCAGGACCAGCTTAAACCAGTTCAAACCATCTTAAACCAGCTCAAACCAGCAGTCATGCTTCAAAACATGGGTGAACCATCTCTTTATGTTTGAGTAGTGTGTGGGATTGTCAGAACTTGAAATCACATCTAAATGACTCCAGATCATAACATGAACAGAATTTGATACTTTGACAAATGGCTTTAGAACCAATCGTTAGTTTGTCGACACCAAAAGTGTCACTAATGTTTCTCCCGCCACAAGGTTCACGATCAACTTCCTGCGCGGTAACGACATCGCTCTTCACATCAACCCGCGCTTCAGCGAGGGAGGGAAGCCGGTTCTGGTCCGCAATCACAAACAGGGAGAGCGCTGGGGGAAAGAGGAGCGGGATCTTCTGTCGCCGTTCCCCTTCATGCCCGCTCATCACTTTGAGGTAAACGACTCGCTGCGAGATCCTCTGCCTAAAAACAGTGTTGAAGCGCTTCCCGTTTATGGGTGGAATGAAAGCAGCAGGACGGTCCAGACAGTGAATGACTGACCCTCACGTCTCTCTGCAGATGAAGATCCTCTGCACCTTCACGGAGTTCAAGGTGGCCGTCAACAACACGCCTGCGTTTGACTTCCAGCACCGCATCAAAGAGGTCAACCAGATCGACCGCATCAACATCCTGCACGACGTCACGCTCACGTCCGTCAACGTGGACACGCTCCCATGAGCCTCCGCGAGCCTAATCAAGCACATTAAACTACAGCGGCGTCACCACACGATTACACTCAGAGACACCCCACATTTGGTCATTTTGACCTGGAGAGGAATTTCTTCTTCACGAAAATGCTAGTTAATGTTTTCACACTGGGCTAAAACTTACTGACTGCTCACACGGAGTATAAGAACTTAACAAAAAAATTATCATTTTATGATTTTTTTCCCCACACCTTGTTTCTAGTCAAAAATGACCAGCCTACAAAAAATTGCTTATAATGTTCTCATTATGCTATATTATTACCAAATACTGAATTCTATCTTTTTGTCTCGTTTCTTATCTATTAGCACAGGTTTAGTTTCTTTTTGCAGCTGATTGATTGAAGTGTTAAGTGAAAGTTATAGAAATAGAGGTTTTCTTTTGCAAAACAATGGGACATTAACTAACAAAGAAACACTAACATCTTTACTTTTATTCTGTCCTATCTGTAAAGTATAACGAGATCCAAATGTCTGAGAAACTTGAGAGTGTGTGACGGTTAAACTTATCATTTGTGATGAATGTAATGTTGTGTTTTACAGTACAACAGAATAACACTAATATAAGCAAAACCCTACTAATAATGAGTGTGAATTAAAGTATTATTTAAAGCCAATGTAAATGAATCATAAATGTCATCTACTTACATATCATATTTCAGTTTATTGTGTAAGAAATCAGGTCAGACAAGCACTGATAACAAATAAATAAAATTCATGGCTGATTAATGTGTCATTATATAATCAAGACAAAACTGCCTATGACGAACTGCAGATTACAGACACATTATTATAACACTAATATAAGCAAAACCCTACTAATAATGAGTGTGAATTAAAGTATTATTTAAAGCCAATGTAAATGAATCATAAATGTCATCTACTTACATATCATATTTCAGTTTATTGTGTAAGAAATCAGGTCAGACAAGCACTGATAACAAATAAATAAAATTCATGGCTGATTAATGTGTCATTATATAATCAAGACAAAACACTAATATGACGAACTGCAGATTACAGACACATTATTAACTTATTTGGCAATAAAACATCAATAAAAATGGACATTAAAAGCAATTAAGCACACAAATACTCTGGCAAAAATAAAAAATATTAACATCAAGAGTAACTGACACGGAACACTTCAGATCATATAAGACACTACAAGTTCAAATCAGTTCAAATTAAATATGCAAATATATGCATGTGAAACACACTCACACACACACTCGTACACACACACACACACACACGCGCACACACTTGCACGCACGCATACACACACACACACTCTCTCTCTCACACACACACACACACTCTCTCTCTCTCACACACACACACACACT